CAGTTTATAATTTTGCCCGTTGAAGAACGTAATTTTCATGAGCGAGAGAGTAATATGATTTTTACGTATTATGTGGCGTTTATAAAGAAATCTAACTCGAAAAAAGCGAACACTTACCTCGAACGACAAAAGGTTTTGATTTTCCGATAGAAAAAGGTCGTTATTGAAGTACTTTGCCGCCACTGAAGAACTCCGAAACGACCGTAACCGGTGGAAACTGGCTGAGAGGAGAGTTCGTTCGGGAAAAGCACGGAACGAAGAAGGAAAGAGCGAGCTCGAGGGAAGCGGAAAGAGAAGAGGGAGGATGAGAGGAAGAGAAGAGAAAGAGGAGAAACAGAGAGTATGTGGAAGGAAAAGAGAGGAAAAGGAGAAGGGCGGCATGGCGGTTTGCGAGCGAAACGGTAGCTACCGACTAGAGCGAGAGGCATTGCGAGACGTGGAATATGTCTGGCGTATGTGGAGAACCTTGTATACTCCCCCGGGATCGTTATGGGGGCATTCCGGCTTCTGGTATGTAATATCAGAAATTCCTGTCTACCTGTGTGTCGCCTGTTGCCCGTGCGCGATGTTCCAATTGGAGCGGGTGAAACGCGCGTCCATGCGATGCGAAAGTGGTATTACTTGTGTCGGCGCGGGGGTTGAACCTGGAATATGTAGGGCTGGATCACCAACTTCAGAAGGATAAAATTATTCCGCACGAGACGAAAATTAGTTGCAAGAGAGATCCCATTGAATTGAATTTTATTCGCGTTTTAGACGCGCGCAACATTTCGAAAAACTCGCATAAACAAAAACATCATATTTGTTTGATGCTCTTCGTTGTTTGTTGTCAATTGGATTTTTTTTTTAATTAATTTTAAACGCGCGCAAAAAATATTTTTTATATATTTATCTGTAAAAGATATGTAAACAATCAAAAAATTGTTTCTACTTCTCATACTGGTTGTGTAAAATTTTAATTGTAGTATTTAATGAAAACGAAACTGTAGAAAAATTTATCTAAAATTCCACAATTAAGAAATTATCTAAAATTAATATTGTCTTTGTTATTTATTAAAAAAAAAAAAAAAACAGAGTTTTTAGGAGATATATATGTATATAGGAACTACTGGACGTAATAAAATAAAACTACTATTTTTTGACTTAGTCATACACGCGCTTCCCATTAACGCTCAATGAAAGGGTCTTCGAGGGCTGCGTTGCAACCTTTCGAGGCAATGCAGCGAGCGATGTATGTAGAGAGGACTTTGGTTTCGTCGCATGGTAGGGTAGTTTTAGCCAGAGGCATCGGTTGTCTGCATTCGACACATTGTCAATTTGTGCCGCTGCTCGTCTCGTCTGTTTAAAATCGATCGTGCCAGAGCACACATACCTCTGCCTATCGTATATATTTTCGGTTTACGAGTGCTGTAGACGTCATTCCCGCCCCCTAACAATGCGCTAAAAAAATAGTCGGTCTGTTCAATTTCTGCCAGTCGCTCGTATACGTTGGCATCATGCGTGCAGTAGTGTCTGTGACAAATTTTCAAAATATACATATATAACGATTTTAATCGACGCTATTTCTATCATTTTTTACCGTTTTTTTTGCGATATTCGGTTTCTTTAATGCAATTTAAATAATTTCTATCGCTGATCCAGCTTTTTGATGTTCTTTTGATTTCCACATTATCGTTTTACACAAACTTTCTATCAAGCGCACAAAAAGTGCAATTAAGAAATATAATAACTATGTGACACACGTTTATATTTTAAAGAAAAAAGTTTGATAAAAAACAAATATGTTTATGTCTTTATTTATTTTCTCTATATTTAATAAATCTCTCTTTTTCAATATTTTTAATTTTCGTTGTAATTCACAATTGAAGTAATTTTCTGAAGAAAACTTCACAAAGAGGCAAGCAACATCAAAAATAATGTCCGTTTGAAATCATTTAAAATCGTCAGCGATTTTTTGTTGTCCTGACTATTGCAATTAACGAAAATGAGAACCGCAAACTCGGTACATTTGAAGTATGACGTGACTGAGAATTCCGCACAGGCGAACAGTGCATTTCGCGTAATATCTATTTCATTACAGCGGAGATTCCACAGTATTTTTGCAATTATACACAGCGATCATCGCAGGTGGTTACATAGGTTATACCGTTCATATTGTGTTTGCGAATATTGTCGCAATATGATCGAAATTTCTCGGGGACGGCCTGTGTGATCGAATACTCGAACCAGCGACGTTAATTATCTTTAATCCAATTAGTTATGTATTTGCATATGCCGACTACGATGTTTTCCCGTGTTTCGCGTCTGCGCTGATTAGCGCGATGGATATGATGATGCAAATGAACAAAAAATAAGTATATGCGATAAAGCGCGACACGTTACTTGGAACGCATAATTAAAACTCCCATCCTGATTATTTGCGGTTTTTCTTTGTACGCTCGAATAACGTTTGCACAATTATCCCTTAATAATGAGATATGCGTGTCCGGTAGTATACGATTTTTTTCATTATTCAACTATTATCACTGATAACAAGCGTTAAAATAAAATAAAATAAACTACGATGAAGAAACAAAAGGAAAAATTGCAAGTTGCACTTTATGTTTAAATAAACAGATTGTGTGCTTCTCTTTTCAAGAAGCATTACCTATGTTGTTAAATAATAAACGTGGAACATATTTTCGTGAAATAATAAACGTATAAAATACTATAACTTTTTGTCACTCAAAACCATTACCACTTATTGCAACTCAATTAGCAAAAGAATGTATAAAACTGGAACGGCGCAGCAATTTCGTGCCAAATTTATTAAATTTCTTTGGCATTCCTGTCTTTTGTCCTCTTTTCGCTCAAGAAGTAATATACTACGTGACACGTGTACGTTCAATTATATGGTGTAAAAAAATTAAATGGTATAAAAACATTCTCACAAATGTATTTAAGTACACAGAAAAAACATACATGTACGTGGCTATTATTGACGCAAACGACCTGAAATTTATCAAAAAATGTAGATCAAAAAAATTTGATTTACATAATGAAATAAAGCACTCTTTGTATAATTCTGTACGTATATTGATAAGTCATTTGGCGCACTAAAATCAGAAAAATTAGTATGCACTCATTTGTGAAAGCCATTCGATTCATTAGACTAACTAAAAGAACTATTGGTGATCGGATCTATATTACACAAACAATATTTCATTCATTACGGAATTATAAATCATTTAATTACAAAATTGTAGATAAAATTAGGTAAACTTAAACGATTTAATTATAATTCTTATATCAATTTTCAATGAGGGGCACAAGCTCAACAATATGCTCTAACGTTCCAAAATAAACGTTTCTAATTAAAACACTGATTTATTTCTTTTTCAAAAAAAAAAGCAAATCTCTAGACAAAGGAAGAAGCAAACCTAAACAATTATACAAATGTGTGATTTTACCAAACGGTAATTTACATTATCTGGTATAGTTATAAAACTACTGTTACGCGTTTCCTTTATGCTCGTCGTAAATTGAATAGAATGCTGTTCATGTAGGAACGCGAGATCGCGCGCGTTGGTGGGTCAGCAAGCGTTATAGGAGCCATCGCGACTTCCGTTCTCGTCCGCACGGGTTGCTGCGTTATAAAAAAGGGTAGCTATTGAATTAAAAGGACGTAGCGAATAAGGCGGGCCGCAGTCGAGAAAGCGAGATCGCGACCGAGCGTGATTTTCAGTGAGCGCGAGGGAAGAAGCGCAAGCGAGAGGACGTGAAACGCCGCGATGAAAAGGCAGGAAGAGTGACGGGGACAGAGACAGAAAGATAGGGAGAATCGGGAGGTGATCGGGCGGGGGTGGACGAAAGGCGGAGGAAATGAGAAGAAGAGGGCTCTCTCTTCTCCTTCGGCCGGTCGTCTGCTCATACATCCCTTCACCACCCCGCACTCGTCGACGAAGCAACATCCACCCTCCTCCCCTCCCCCGCGCACGCTCTTGCCGGCCATAAAAATAAAATTTCAATAAATCTCCGCCGCGCGAAAACTAGTGGGGTATCCAGAGGGCGGGCTACTCGCTCATTGGAGCCGCGTTCGCGGCGGTTGCCGCCTACCGCAAAGCGGAGACGGCGAAAGAGACGGTAACCTGGATAGAGTTTACCTCGGGATATGGGCAACCCTCGCACGACTACCAACCGTCGTCGTGGCCCGATGACTGAAAATCCAATCGCGGTATCTTTGCTTGACAGATTTTTCGTCGTTTTCTTTGTCCATCTTCATCCTTGCTCGTCTTGCATCTTTTTTATTATAATTTTCTCATTTTTTCGTAAAATTTTCGGTCCATTGTGCGATGTCTGATGCTTGAAGCGTGCGCTTGATTAATCAAATACAATTTTTCGGCTCACGTAAACATCACTATCAATGTAACTATAAGAAGCAGTCAGAGTAACAAGTTTTGGAGATGGTTTATACAATATTTTTTATGCAAATAAAATTGTTTAAACACAGTAAAACAAAAAGAAAACCATTTAAATATAAAATAATAAACTGTTCTCTTGAACAATATGTAAATTATTTTAATACTATATATAGAATTTTTTTGTCGTCTGTCTCCAAAAATAATTGCTATCTTTGTATTCCAAGAAAAAACAGTAATTTAATAGTTAATTCAAGGATAGCATCTTTCTAAGGCAAAAACAAAATTACTACTTTTACAGAAAGGATTTCGCTCGGGAAAGAGGCTCCGGCGAAGCTAGCTACCGTCCTGAAACCGTCCCTGAACCTGAGGCTAGGAGCGATTTAATATTCACGCCCACCAGCGGAGAAAGCGAGGGAGTAGGGACTCGTCCGGATCGCGTGCAGGAGCGAGAGATCAACGGCGCGCACGTTGACGCGAGCGAGAAGTCGATAATCCTGCCACCTGCGCGAGTGGGGGTGTTCGGATATGGCAGTCGACCAGTTCGCTGTTTGCCTTCCTGGGGCACGGGCCGGTTCTCCAGGCTCGTCTTTACACCCCAAATATCCATTCAGAAAGATCGCGCGTTGCGTCGTCGTCCAGTCGCAAGTTTGTTTTTTTTGGGGGGATCCGTGGTGCCTCGAGTTTGAGGGTGAGGTGCTCGCGGTGTCGCGCGGATTTCCGCTTCCGCGTCCTGTACCGGAGCTACGCTCCCGCGGAGCGGCATGCTCAACAATATCACCGCCGGCGGTTCCGTACACGGTATCTCCGGTAAGTACCGTATATGCACTGACAAGCCTGTCCGATTTTGGTGCGTATCGGGGAACAAATTGGTGAATATGTAAACGATTTTTATTCACATTGCGTCAGTATCAAAACTCGCAGTGCGTCAGTCAGTTAATTTTTCGAATAGTTGCTTCAAAATTCTTAAAGTGATTGAGACGAGATTTCGTTGTCACGTTTTGCATATTGGAATTCTCTGGTTAAATGCAACAGTTTTATTTACCGTTCTGCAAAATGCGTTTTTTTTTTTTTATCTTGCTTCATCGAGGAGCTGTCGATGCCTCGCCGACGGTACCGCGCGCGCGTTGCTTCTGACATAACACCATTTTGTAAATCATATATCGAAGTTTACAATTGACGTGGAAAAATATTGTGAAGTGTTGCAATTGGATCGAGGTACACGCAAAATCTCGAGAGCAGTGAACAGTCCCAGGTTTTATCGATCGTAATAGTGGCGGTTTTACCAGTGTATCTTTCGCGCGCCAAAGCTTTCTCTGTAGAAGTTCTCAAAATTAATGCCAATATGATAAATGCAGTTAATACCGATGAAGTTCTATGAAACAAGCGATTGTCATTTGAGTAACTCTGACCACATAAACTTGTGATTATACGTAGTTTCTCTATGTACTACTAAAATGTTTTATGGTGCACGCAGTTTAATTAAACTTAATCACATGTTATTTCTCTTTCTCTCGTGGCATTTAACATAACAGAGATATCGGCATATTCTATCACGAGATATGACAATTGTCTATGTTGAACAAAATATGTAGAAAGTTATGCTTGAACAACGCACCGTCGGTAGCGAGAGATCGGAAATATTTTGTGTGCGAGACGATAATCATTTCCTGCAAATGTATGTAAGACAGATGAATGAATAAAATGAATAGAGCACTTTGTTATAATGCGCATAATTGATGCTAAAGTTTCATTATTGCATTCTGTATCGTTTAAACATTTTATATAGAAATATATCACAGATATGGTTTTATTTGAAACGCGCACTTATTTCAAATAGCATCTATTATACACACATTCGTGAGATTCCACGTAATTTTTTGTTGCACTTTTTTAAAAACATTAATCCCGAGTAAATCCATATTTTCATTCAATCATTTTCATTTCAATTTAACTTCCATCACCCGTCGGCTTGTGTAAGGGACTGCTTTGCCACTAATCCGCTATGAATAATTCTACGAAAACTGCAGATTGTAATTAATACGTATCATACAGTTTACTGTGAAATAATTTTTATATTTCTAAGTGTTGTATAATTCAAAATTCTCACTTTTTGTTTTATAAATATATGTATAAATTATTTTACATTATCTTGTGCATATTATATTTCGACAAAAAAGTTCTTTTCACACACAGAATATATTTATCTATTAAAAATATTTATAATTTTTTGTTTATCAAATGCATGTGAAATGTATATAATAAATTTGTCGCGTAAAATTATAATAAATAATACAATTATAATAAATAACAATAAAACAGGTATATAAAGAAATAATTATTAATTATTATTTTAGATTATTCGAATTTTTTCTGATATAAATATTAGCAAAATGCAAATTCTAAATAATCAACATGAATTATTTTACTTTCGTGCATATGTAATTTCTAATATCATTGTTTGATTTATAAATATTTTAATTAGTTTACATAAGTTTGCGGAAATGTACAATAGAAAATTTATTTCGTGGTTTATTTTTTAGAATCATGAGCAAAAAACTGAAAGAGCGGGACCAAAATTAGGATAGAAAGTCGCATGAAAGAATGGTGTGTGATATGCCGGTAACACGTGACGCGCACGTCTGCGTTCTCCTTCGCCTCAAGAAAGCCGCTTCTCGAGTTTGATGATCTTAATTACCTCAACACTGATTACATTACGCGAGAAGTTGAGGAACGATTTAGAGAGTTAGAATGTTGCAGGTGGCGAGAACTGAGTAAAGCGCTACACGTTAAGCGGATTAAAAGAAAGTTACCAGTTGTTTTGTGTTAAGTTTTATAAATGTTTTATATATTTTTCTATGATATTTACTCTGTTAGCACATATAAAATTTATGAGCTCTTTTTCTCTCTCTCTCTCTCTCTCTCTCTTTCTCTCTTTTAATTTAAGACAGTATTATAACGATTATCGTGTGAAATAAACATACATAAATAAATTAACATAAAAAGAACATTGTTTTTTTTTAATTATTAAATTACTTGAAGACGTTAATTTTGTTAAAATGATTGCAATTTTATCGCTCGTTGATTACCAGTGTTTACACCGAGATTATGGCGACGTTTGCTCGCTTCACGTCTAATGAATTGCACTTATCCGTCTTCCGTCAAATAGATTAGACGTATATTTGCTCATTTCATCGATTCGTGACTGCGTATACTTGATATACTCTTCTTCAATTACTTCCCTTCAACTTACGCGATATTGAAAATGAGACTGACTTGATTCTTCGGCCGGTGTACCGACTATACGCGCACATCTCTCGTGCTCGCCGTACTTAAAGTATGTCCGTTAAAATTTTTTATGATATACGTTAATTGCATTTGGTGCATCGGCCGTCCATTGAGACAAGGCGGGCAAACGCGTGTGACATCCGAATAAATACGTCTGTCACGACATTTCCGGATAGTAATGTGATTTATGACTTTATTATTCAGACGTTCGCGCGCGGGCGGCTGTCAATCACCAAGTTTTCAAACGTCGATAAACGCGCGGCCGAACGTTACAAAAATTCTTTTTTTTTCCGCCACTTAAAATTATTGCGATAATCCATGAGTAAAAAAAAAAAAAGAAAACACACGCGGTAACAGATACTTGGCTGTGTCGCGCGCTCGATCTTTTAGTGATTAGCCTTTTAATTTGATTATGTCCCTCGATAATCCGGTCAATTAATGTGGGATTAAATAATCATCCTCAATCATTAGCAAGAGAAGAGGTATCTCGAAGTAATGCGAATGCAATTATGCAAAGGACAAAGTTAATGAATAAAGTCTCTTTTTTTTATTAAAAAATACGAGAGACGATATATGTGGACACTGCACATAAGTTTTACACAATGTTTTTTGCACGATGTTTTGTTATCAATATGTAAAGAGAAAGAAGCACAGCAAGGACATCAAAGAATTTTTACCGAATTCTGGTCAAAGAAAGAAGCTCGTAAATATTCGACCACTAAAATCCGAATAAAATCTCACGAAAGCATATAAAACTAAAATACAAATAAAGATCTGTCATAAAATTCATTCATCTGAGACATTCATTCAGAATGGCTGTACTATATACCTACTATATATATATATATATATATATATATATATATATAAACGGTGATCTGATGGTTTAATATGTTTAATTTGTTTTTCAGATGGTATTTTTCTATAACTTTCTATTTACTACTTTAAAAATAAAACCAAGTAAAAGTTCTATTTACTTTGCATTTTTTTATAACAATTTATGTGATTAAAAATAATATTGTTAAGTAATGATTGAACGACATAAACGATAAAAAGTTTTCGAGAGAGCTCTTTTTTGAGGCATTTTCCTCAAATATTCTTCAAATACATCTCAACATTTGTAAAACATTCCAAAAACATTTAAATTTGCAACGAATTCAAAATGGACTTCGCGACGAAGAATATTTTTGCGCTACAAATGTTCAATTATACACAAAACAACCTTGCACATTTATATTTACACGTAACTGCAGAAACGATATAGTTACGGATGAGTCGCTTTAAATGTGTTTTTTTTTTTTTTTTTTTTTTTTACGGAGGCTTAGTATTCGTTCGCGCGCGGTGGGTGGAAATTTTTACCGCGCGTATCTACACTTTTTTTCTCGCTCGCGACGCAGAAAATATATACTTACGCTTTGCCTACGTCGTCGCCTGACTAAACTAGTTTACGTCCTTACGTAAGCATCTTTGACAATGCACAACGATACGCGATAGCTCGACTCGCGATCTGACACATGGTCCGAGACGTGTAGGCGTGTGCTGCTGATCTGAGATGGATACCCTTCTACACAACATAAGACGCACGTTCACGTACGCGCCGCGTCCATACACACGTACACGTACTTATGTACGTACGCATATTCCTCTGCGCGAATGTATGGAAGATCGGCGCATGTGTTTGCTCGCCTAGAAGCCGAAGTACGGTGACGATTCTCGCACCTCCTCGCTAAGTGGTTCGTACGCCCCTCGGCCAGCTTCTGCTCCTATACAAATTTAAACTACGCAAAGCGAGCGCGTGGGGCGGCCGCGAGAGACGTATATATATATATATATATACATGTATGTGTATGTTGTGTGTGTGATGTGTGGAGCACGAGGAAGCCCGACGAAACAAGAGATAGAAAAAAAGGGAGAAGAAAACTGAAGCGTCTCGTTTCTTCTTTTCTTTTTCCGCTTCTTCCTCCTCGCCTACGTCGTCGTCGCCGCGACTCTGCCGCACGCGGGCTGTTCGCGCGTAGGAACGAAGGATGCGCAGGATCTGAAGCGGTACGAGAAGGAGCACGGCGTGCTGGGAGTGAATCTGGGCTCCGGTCTGTCCGCGGGTGGCGGCCTTACGCTTCATCAGGAACTGATCATGACTATGCCCGGCACAGGTAAGCCTCTCGCCGTTCACGCTGCGTGATATACACGTCCCCGACTTCGTTAGTCCTAGAATCAATCGGAAATGACTCGTAGAGCGGCCTATACGAACGTGTACACACGCACACACATACACCGAGCGATCGCGTACAAATCGCGAACACACAGTGTGTGTTTTCCATTTGTTCAAACTCTCGCGATAAAAGTGTTTGTCCTAAAGTTAATACAAAAACGGGGACGAAAATAAAAGATATAATAAATTGTGAATATGACTGTATATTTAAAAATAATGCGCTCCGCGCGTAAATACAAACGACTTGAGATGAAATGAATGATTTCGCTTATTCATTAAATTATACCTGAGATATAATATGTAGAGGGAAAAGATGAGTCGCGTATCGATTTTCCGCGAACGCTTCGTAATACGCGCGCGAGGTATTCTCAGAACGGATTGCGCGATATTTGCGTCATGAATTAGAACGCGGAATTGCTTTGTTGAATGTCGCGCGCCTAATGCGGTAGAGCAACATACTTCGGAGAAAGATGGACACTTATGTAAAAATATCACGTACAAAATTTTATCCATCTCTGCGTTATTTTTCTCTCTCCGAACGATCGGTCAGAAAGTCAAATGCAATCGACAGATAATTAAATGCAATTAATTTTGTTTTTGTTTTTTTTTTTTTAAATATCGAACACTTTAAGCCATTCAAGTCAACTCTCTCGTTCATTTGTGTTCGATTTTTTTTAGGTGGCGCGACGGCGATCGGTCAAGGCGATGACAAACCTGCGAAGCAGAAACGACATCGGACGCGTTTCACACCGGCCCAGCTGAACGAGTTGGAAAGGTGTTTCACAAAAACCCACTACCCGGATATCTTCCTAAGGGAGGAAATAGCTCTAAGGATCGGCCTTACGGAAAGTCGCGTTCAGGTAGGTGTGGTCGAAATGTACATATCGCTCTCGCACGAAACGATTAATAATCCAGCTTGAATTCTATCGCGTGACTTTTATCAAATGACTGGAATTACAATTTCGTGACGTGAAAAAAAAAAAAAAACGTATGTATGTATCTACATCCATGATAATGACGTTGAAGAGGGTGTAGTGTATATTTCCTTGCGATCCGATACGGAGGTTGTATCCTCGAAATGAAACATCCAGACAGTGGTGAAACTCCGACAGAAATCAATTGCACCGGCCTACCGTGGCTTTTTGGATTAAAGTGAAACTTGAAGCAGCAGCTAAGCCCTCGCCCTACGGGGTTCCGAATTTTGGTGGGTTTCACTTGGTTGCGTGGCGACCGTGAAACTTTGCGGAAGATCGCAAGTCGTGTGCGCGTCTGGCGTCAGGAATTCCGGAATTGAGGATCGAGAAATTACACAAGCAATTCCCGCGGTTCGCTGCTCTTGTATATTGTTACAATTATTTTTACACAAAGTGCGGTTGTTGATTCGCTCTCTCTCTCTCTCTTGTGTCTTAATTAAAATAATTTACGTACTAAAGAGTTTTTATTATTACAAAAAGCAACAAACTCTCTTGCGAATTTACGAGTTTAATTTTTAGAATGTATAATGAAGATATTTAGAATATTACCTTATATTATTAATACATATATATGTATATATATACGCACACACAGAGCTGTGTAGAGAATTAAAAATAGCGTATGTTAATGAAGAGCGTTAAAAATAGACGCGTCAACAATTAACGCCAAAATCAAATTAAAAAAGGACACGGCAAATCGGAGAATCTTCTTCTGCATTATGATTTAATAAACGTAATGTGTTTTGACAGCAAGAATACAGCTGTGATTTTCATAAATTATTTAAATGCAAAATCAACGGAAATTTGTGACAATATATCAGAATTCGAAAACTCGATTGATTTCTGTTTTTATTCATCCAAAAGTTTATTGATCTTTCTTTTTTTGTTTGAGATGTGACCGCGCTTTTGATGTAATTTGAAAGTCTCGTATTGACTAAAAAAAATTTTCCACTCTCGATCGGATTTGACCATCCGTGAGAGGGCGGTTTGGCCTCCCCGCGGGCCATCAGCTGACAGAACTCTTTTAAGTCTCCGGGGCACGTCTAGAAAAATGGAGTTAATAGAAATTCATGAAAATTTTATTCGCAACTTGGAGGCGTCAGTCAAGCCGAGCGTGTCCCGCATATCAAATACCTGTTCTCTCCGTCCCGTTTTTTTCGCGCGCACATATAAAACGTTGCACATACGACTCGCAAGATATATTCACTCGGTTTGCGATATAAAATGCATCTTGTTTGTGCAAGACAATAATATAGTTATTAAATAAATGTCCGTGTCGAACGAACAGTTTATGTTACTTATCTTAAAATAACTCGAGTATTGCAAAATATACTTTTAAAAGAAAATATTATATTTGAGAGATAATGATTCACAGTTTTTTTACTTACACACAATCTTTGGTTTCTCATAAATATGGCTATTTGAAATAATTTTCTATGTCGCAAAAAAATACCGTCACAGGTAGATAATTTTAATTAAACAGTTTAGAGACAGAGATGTGTGTACAAAATTGCTCGCACCAAGTGATTGGCTGAAACCGCGCGACACATTGACCCCGGCGTGTCTAACAAATTAGTGGTTTCAAAGTCACTCGGGAAGGAGGGGAGAGACTTCTTCCGGCTCTCTGGGAGAGCGCGTCCCGGCGAACGGGAAACGTCGGACCAAGAAAATAAAAAAACAAAAAAAAAACAAAATCAAAAAAAGAAAAACTGAAAAAAGGGAGAAAGCGAAGCGGGATTCGTAGGTCTGTCGGGCGGCAGGCTGCCTAATTGAAAGAGGTTTTCTGTGGGCGAGGGTAGACATCACCGTGAACGAAGCGTTTCCAAGGAAACCCGGCGGCGGGCACTCGTGTGGAGAGGGCCTTCGGCACCAATGGGGCTGCGAGAGAAAGGCGCCGGCGCTCAGCATCGCTATACTATCGAGCGTCGCTATCAAAGGTTTCTTGACTTGCCATGGCGGATTCATTGCGTATTTTAGAAACACGCAAATAATTCCGTTTTTTTTCTCTTTTGTTCTCTTTTTCTGAGAGTGGGGGGTGAAAAAGGTTTCTATTTGTCGCGCTTGTTACGTGTTCAACACGCGCGGTGAAACGTTCGAAAAGGATTTCGATCGCGCAAACGTGTTACTGCGGGATTTTTCAATAGCCATTTTTGTTATCTCGCTCGAGAAAGTGGCAGAACGATAAAGTTATACACTTTTCTCGATACATGTTGTGTCTCTGTCATTATGAATATTTATAAGTAGTAGCAAGGAATATATAGTTTTAAAAATATCGTATATGCTGTGAATTACACGTCGCGATTGGTTGTCAAAATGTATATTTTAAACACTATTCCGTGATTTTCTAAGAGATATGTCAGATAAGATGAATTATGCACAATTTTTTTTTCACGCGCGCGTTGTCTCTCCGAGAACTCAATATGAGAATTTAACAGCGAAGAAATTTGCTCACAAATCGCCGTTTGTTTTTTTTTTGTTTTTTTTTTTTTTTGTAAAGCTGGCTCGTTCTCGTCGTCGTTGCAGCGCAAGTTGTGACACTCCGCATCATTGATACAGTAAACGTAATAGCTCTGTTGTATAATCGTTGCATTAATGGGTAGAAAATTGCTCGTTACGAGTGCGTTGCACATAATAGCGTGGCAGCAGCTCTTCTCCCCCTCCTCTCTCTTCGTTTCTCTCTGATAACTGCGATAGTTACAGATACAGAGGTGCGATAGTTACGCGACAATTATCCAGTTCGCGCTGATAGGTAGTATTGCTCTCTTATCCAATCATCTCTTACACGTGTTACTTCTACGCGAACTTTTCGCGTGCTCGCGCTCGTCTTTCGACGTTATTATTCATAATTCATTGGTACTCTGCGTTTGATAGAAATATTTGAAATTATTGTGAGAAAACACGGTGCATATATGCGCGCCGTCACAGCGGCCGATCGAACGGTCGAGATTAATCAGTCACTATTTTTCCCCACCGGGCACAATAACGTGCGCGCGCGCGTGCGGATCGCAACAATGGAAAGCATCCCTGATTAGCAACGAAATACTTGAAATAGTGTAATGAAATATTACGGTTCATCGATTTGTAGTAATTTATTATCGCTCGAAGTGAGGCGTAATTGCTGCTCCATCTCTAATTCTCGTTAATGAACAACAATTAAATCGCACGATAACGCATTATGAGAACTGTTGTACAAACAACAATTACTTCGAAGTGCCGTTATGCAGCTATTTGAAATTATGTGTAACATTTAATTAGCGTCTTAATGCGATTACTGCCTCGCGAACTCGTTAGCGCGATCATACGTATTGTCTCAGATACGCGTGGGGAAAATATATACGGTCCTCCTTCCCTCCCTTCTCGCTATCTTGCATGATGGTCGTGAAAAAGAGCGATTTGATATCTATATACATGTATACGTATATATACACGCACACATACACACACATATATTATATATATATATATATATATATATATATGTATATATATATATATACATATATATATAATATACCAAATTACGGGCAGCGCGTTTGTTCAAAATAAAAATAATTAAGAGCCGCCGACTTCATCGCTGAAAAATGCACGAGCTTTTGGTGAGTGTTCGCCCCGCTTAATTAGCCGTAATGGACGTGATGAATTTTACATTAGACCGAGCTTTATCATTTTTCGAATAAAAAAAAAGGAGTAATTCGTACTTTCATCAATTCGGCGTGCGTTGCATAACTACCGCGAGAGCGCGATGTCCCATTGCATCGAAGCAATCGTGATAAAGCTGCTATATTGACGCTGCTATATTTAACTCACGTGTGTAACGCGAGCCTCGATTTTGATAAGCGCAATAAGCAACTTCCTGATTAAATAAAGAAGCGTTTTAGAGTAATTTTATAGTAATATTAATAATAATAATAATAATATTTTGTGTAAGTTTTTTATCAAAAGCTTTTTCACATAAATTTAACGAGAAAATGTCATTTTTATTAAAAATAACGCGAAAAAATCGCGAAAATGATACATTTTTGTGAGGGAATTGTTTTAATATTTTTGTAGAACTATTTCTCAATGAAAGCGCTACGCTCGGTAGTCCGATGTATTATTTTGCGCAGTGATAACGGAACGCGAGACACCCGCATGCCGCTACCCCCGCCATGTAAAGCGGGGAATTCGCGATTGACACACGGGGTCAACGGCTTTTTTTCATGTGATGTGCACGTTTTTAGAACGCGCGCGCCAAGTTATTTCTTACCGTCAATCATATCGCGAATATTAATTCGCCGCGCTCGATGCGCTTCAAATAAAGTTCAATCATCTGCCGAAACGGGTATGAGAGTTTGAGACAAAAAGCTTTTTTCAGCCGGACGTTTATTACTAAGCCGACAGTTTATTTCGGGCGGCGTATCGGCATTTTAACGGTTTTAATTACGCGTATTTTAATCCGCCCAGGAGACATTTTCTGTTTCGCGAGAGCGTTTGCCGAGGCGGAACGAGCTTTATTAGACTGCACTCGGTCGATTTAAATTTAATCATAATGAAGAGGCGATTAAAATTGCAATCGTCCACGGAATAGAACCCATAGCGCCGGGCAGTTAACGTCTGCTAACAGGCATTTAACTTAACTGCCTCAGGTAACTGCTCGTTTCTAGGCTGAAGGGTCCTTTCGATTGCTACTGTGCCGGAAATTTTATGGGGCACGACTTCTCGTCGATGAGCGCGCGAACTTTTGGCGACAAAAAGAAAGAGGGGGAAAAACCTATCGTTTTTTTCCGCGAGATCGTTTCGGTGGATTGTCCCGTCGGTCGCGCGCGTTCGATCGGGAGATCTGACAAATCAATCAATCGTTTGAATTTCGAATAGGCGCGATGAAATAATTGACGAGAAATTCACCG